CACTAACTTTGTTTTTTTTGCAGGTTTTCGTTGGAGAGCAAAAAGGAGAAAAAAAAAACCGGTACCGGAACCGGCACCGGCGGTGCCGGTAACGATTTTGGGGCACCGGAACCGAGACCGGATGTGGCGGTACCGGTGCCGGTTCTCGGAACCATTTCGCCGTCCCGGTTGCCGTTACGGTGCTCGATACCGGCGGTACCGTTTCCGTGACGGTACCGAACCGGTACCGTGTCCAGCCCTAATTAGAACCATTACATAAATTAAACAAAATAGTTGATACAAATAACAGAATTGTCCATTTCGAAATATAAAAACATTTACCAGTATTATTAATTTGATGCTTTCGTGATTTCCAATCTTAAATAACTCCAAATTTAGATAATATGGCTTAAAATTAGTGGGGTGGATATTCATTATTTCAATATTGGGATAGATATTGGGTATTGAATTGAGTAGCAATGGGTAAATTATACATAAGTATTAAATAATTTCGGTATTCGGTTTTTACCGAAATACCGATTCCAAATTTTGTACCGAACCGAAAACCGATTTTTTCAAAATATGAGAACCGAATACCTAACCGAATTATTTGGTTCGGTTTCGGTACGTACCAAATTTTTCGGTTTCGGTTCGGTTCGGTCGGTTTACCAAATTGTGCGCACCCCTAGGTAAATTTGATGTATGGTACCTGAACTTTTAGTTGTTTTTCATTTTGGTGCTTAGACTTCATTTTCTTTTACAAAAATAACTGAATTTTGAAAATCTTTTACGAATGATACCTGGAGCCGGTTTTCAGGTAATCATCAGGTCATTTGGGCCAAATTACAATTTTATATATTTTAAAATCTTTAATTTGACCCCATTTCTTTTTTCTTCTTCCCCCTCCCACTCCCTTCTTGTTCTTCTTCTTTCCCCTCTGTTTTTCTTCTTCTTCATTCTTTCACCCCTTCTTTTCTTTTTCTACCTTCTTTCACCCATTTTTTTTCTTCTTCTTCATTAAACCCTCCACTCACAACAACCCACCCCTCCCTACTTGTTTAGCCCACCCCGCTTCTTGAGTATCCTCTTTTTTGTTTAATTTTAACTTCCTCTTTAAGTATTTTTTTGTTTCAAATTTTTTGTTGAATACTCCGTAACTTTTTTAAATTTTTTTCAATTTTTTTGATATATTTCTTTTTATTTTTTTATGTTTTCGGTCTGTTTTATTTGTATATATATTTTGTTTGTTTCTATTTTCTTTTTGATGTTTTAATATTGTTTGTTTCTTTGTTTACGATTTTTTTTACAAACATTTTTGTTGCTAACAAATGTCTAATTTTTTGTTTGTTTTTTTGTTTTATTTTTTAATTTTTTTGTTTGACTTAATCAATTGTATTTACTCATTTTAATTAAAAAAATCAAAGCACACATCTTATTTTTTTGTCTGTTTATAAATCGCTATTGTAAACAATTAAACAAAAACAAGTGAATAAAATAAACCCTACATATAGAAATAACTAAAAATGAAAAAAAGACAATGGAAAATTCTAAAAAACAAACAAAAAATAAGACATAGTACCATTTTTTGTTTCATATTTTTTAAAAAACAAACAAATAAGATCAAAAAAATATGAAAAAATGACACTATATGGCTTATTTAGTTTGATCTTTTTGTTTAATTAAGACGTATAGTTTGATCTTTTTGTTTACATAAATTTATTAAATATAAAATAACAATGTTATTAACAGAAAAGATAAAAGATAAAGAGAAAATAACGAAACAGGTAAATAAAGGAAGAAAGAGAGAAAAACAAAAAAAGAAAAAAAAAGTAAGAAATGAGAAAAGGCAAAAAAGGAATAAATAATAAATAAAGATTTGAATACATTAGAGAAGTATCATTGAAATTTTAATGTTTTGAAATTTATTTTTTTGAATCATTTATTGCTTAATTCAAGATTTAATAGTAAAGCGAAATGAGACAATTAATGAATAATATTTTTTAAATAATTCAAACATTCTAATCTGTCTACCATATACACAAATGGGTGGTAAAGAACACTTCCTATTTTTAAATTTAGAATTATATTTTTACATAAAAGAAGGGTTTAGAGTCATTAATTTTTATGGAATAATCAGTTAAGCATATACTTCTCTGAATCAATTTTAATAATACTATATTTAGGTTAGTAGTTTTATGCCAAAAAAAGAAAGAGTTTGGTCGCTATCTATCTTGAAAAAATCACAGCATTAAGTCATTGTATGAGTAGGTTCAATCTTCTCATTTCATTTTTAACGTTCTCCAATCTGACATTTTGACCATTATTAACAATATTTATTCTTATCATATTTTATGAAAAAATCATATTTAAAAACAACGTTTAAAAAATTGATATTACATTTATTGAGAAACAATAATTACTTTTTTCGTATATCGAGGTCAATATTTACAAAATTTGACCAATAAAATCAAATTAGAAGATTAAATCTGGACAAAAAGAGTATTATGGAAGAATTTTGACACTTCATGAAATTTTACGCAATTTAGTAAAAACTAAAATTCATTTTTGTGACTAACAATTTTTTTTAAAATCAAGTTCCATAGAATATATTTATATTGAGTATGTGACATAATTATTCTCTGTTATAGAATATAAATTACTTATGGTAAGAATATGCATGTTCAATTGGCTTTATTCCAAATGAAACAGATCATGGAGTACTACCTAAAATTGTCATATTCTAAATGGCAAAAATATGTTAAAAAATACTCCCCCGTTCTCAAAAACACTTCCTCTTTCATTTTTTTCACTTCCAACAAAACACTTCCACTTTCTATTAAAAAATCACATTTACCCTTACTTTTTCATATCACATCATACTTTATCTCTAATAATTTATCTATCACATCTTACTTTTACCTATCACATCAAGGGCAAAATTAGAAGTCAACTACAATTTAATACTTCATTATTTTTACACAAAGTCAAAAGAGGAACACTTTTTTCCAAACGGAGGGAGTATGTTTTCCAAATTAAAGTTTCTAAAAAATGTGTGTACATGTGTTATATAATAAAGAAGCATTATTTTTTCATTTGTAACATTTTTTTTTCTTTTAATGTATTACCTTTTAGCATGGATACATTTAGCATTTACATTCTTTTTATAAGTTTTCCTCACAAATAATCAACTTAAACTAATAATAGAAATCAATTTTAAAATATACAAACCAATGTAAATATTATATACAAAATTTGTAACCAAAATAACATTACTCTTTTATTTAATTAGAATTTTGAAACAAAAAGATAAAAACCAAAAAGAGAAACAAAAAAATATAGCCATATAATTTTGGTTATAGAGAAAAAAATTAGAGATCTTTTTTGGAGAATATCTGAACTTGTTACAGAATATGGATTTTAATAAAACATTAAATATAGTAAGCTGCGATATTACTTGCCCTCTATTTTATTCTAAATCTTTTAAATTTAATAAAACATTAAATATAGTAATTTGTGATATAACTAGCCCTCTTTTTGAATTTGTTCCTTAAACTACTCTATTTTAGAGTCATATTGAAAGGAATCATCCTAGACAAGAGAAAAAAAGTATGAAAATACCAAAATATGAGTCCTAAGTCTTTTATGACCAAAATAGAGTAAAATGACAGTGTGATGTTAGAATACGGATTGACAGTATGATGAAAAAGTGATGACAATATTATATGGTAGTGTGATAACTCAACTATCGGCACTCTAGTGGCTGGTGGTGATAAGTAACAGTGTGACAATGATAGTTGACAGTTGCAATTGACAATATGCTTAGTGTGGCAGTGTAACAATGACAATGTGAACTCCTATTTTTGTCTTAAAAGACTTAGAACTCCTATTTTGGTATTTTCATAGTTTTTATTCCTATCTAGAAAGTTTTCCTTCATATTAACGGAAATAATTGATACCCCTGAAATCTAATTATAAAACGTTCAGATTTAATTCAAGGAATGTGTCATTATATCCACCACCCTCACTCAAGTTTAAATACGTAGGTGTTCAAAGAAATCAATATTATGATAAAAAAAGTCATTATATCTTCCGTTTTTTTTACGTATTCTTGGTAGGAGCATCCAACTTTTCTATAAGAATTGGAAGCATGGAAAATTAACTTGCCGAGAGATGGACGAGATCAGCTAGAGATTTAAGAGAAAGGAGAAAGTGAATACTTAAACAAAAAATGACATAAAAAAGGTGCATATTTTTAAGATTATTATTTTATTATAACAATTCAACATACATCTGTAAAAATCATAAATATCGTTCATAGGTTTCCTAAAAGATAAATTTACCTAAATAGGACTAAAATATAACAATTTTTCAATATAGAATCATATGTTTTTATTTCCAATGTAGGGCTTAAACTTTTTTATTCCCCAAATAGTACTTAATAATGTCTAGTGGGAGGAATAATGTCTAGTGATGGTGAAAATTTACTTGAATAAAGTCCTATTTAGTGCAAATTTTACTTCCCTAAAAATCATGGGTAATTAAATTGTAAAATTGTTTCTTTAGATTTTCATGCATCCCTCCTTTTTATAGTGTCCTAATTATGCATACGTGTTTAGAAATTTTGTAAAAACTAAATCAAACAAAATATTTTCATGACTATGATTTCTCCATGGTTCTCGAGGCAATAAACACCATCGATGGGCCGCCTGCAATGTGTACCAATAGAAATAGAAGAGCTATGTATACTACTTGAAAATACTTTGAATGGTCCAACGGGGATGTATAAGCTATAGAAGCTTGAAGACAGTTACCAACAATATAATGTTGCACAAAACTCATTTCAAAATGCATGGAAAGCATTGAGGTTATTAATCAATGATAAAAAAATTGAGCCCGGTTCCATGGGCACTGGATTCTAGTGGCCACAGAAGCCACTGCCCCCCTATGGAGCTCCGTTCATAAAATTGATGATTCCTACCCCCTCTAGCCCCCCGGTCAACCCTCCCGCCAAGTCCCGACCCAAACTAATCACCCCACCTACGTCAATTGCACCTCGTAAGTATAATTGATTTTAAAGTCAAAATTTTTGACTTTATACTTACGAGGTACAATTGACGTGGGTGGGATGATTAGTTTGGGTCGGGACTTGGCGGAGGGGTTGACCGGGGGTTAGGGGTAGGAATCATTAATTTTATGAACGGAGCTCCGTAGGGGGGCAGTGGCTTCCGTGGCCACTGGAATCCAGTGGCCATGGAACCAGGCTCAAAAACATTTATTGAAAGGTACAAAAGGGACAACTGAGTTAGGATCTCAGAGTCAGTTAAGAAAGTTGTTAGTCACATTATTAGTGACAAATTTCGCGAGTCATCCTTAAGTTATTTGGGAAAAAAATCATTGGAGCTCTTGACTGATGTGATTTTGTTTGACTGAAGAAGAATATTGCATAATCAATGTATTTCTATAAAAATGTACTCCCTCCGTCCCAAAAAGTCTTTCCTGTTTACTATTACGGCCTCTCGATAACTCCAATTTGTTTGCGTGTTTTCATTGATCATTTGATAAAATAAAATATTCTTGTCGCCTCTTATTTTGTAGAGTTTTCGATGTAGTTTTTAAATATAATTTTATTATGTGTTATTTCCTTACCAATTTTCAAATAAAATCATTTTAAAATCTATGGGGTTTTGCACGTTAATCAAAACAGGAAATTCTTTCTGGGACGGAGGGAGTATTTTTTATTATTTATATAAAGATCAATATGAAATGCATGATAAGCTAGTATACCAAACTCTAGAATTGAGATATGGTTAAAATAATTTGGTCGTATTTTAACTACTCCGTATTTTTTTTTGAAAAAATTTATTATTTTCCCAGAAGACCTCATTATAGAGTTTGTTTTTTATTCAGATTGAAAAGTTATTTAATTGAAATAGACAATCCTTAAAGGAGTTTAGTGGTATGTCATTCCGACATCACAACCCACTTTATATATTTCAAAATAATTTCTTGGTAGAAGATTTAAACTAGAACAAACAAAAGTTGTCATTTGATCTTAAACAATATATATCTACAATGAATGAAGACCAGAGGAAGATTTGCGACGATGAACGCTTAATGTTTTTCTATGACTCTCAACAAAAGTCAAGGTCAAACATTGTAATCTGTTGGATTATTTTTAACTAAGTTGAAGTTCACTCATTGTCAACTTTATATTGTTGTTTCACGAGTGAAAACAAAGACATGGTTAAAAATATTAGTTCTAAATGATTTAAAAAAGACTTTGAAGTGTTTAATTTTGAAATTATATATAAGAATTTTCATTATCAAATATTAAATGCCAAATTATTTGTTTTACTTTAATTTTAATGTCTACAATGATAAAAAAAATGCATTACGTATATTTTCATAAACTCTTTTAAAAATATGACACTGAAGACATATTTCAAAATTGATAAAAGTTGTGTTCAACCTCGTGCGAGGCACCCATAAAAAAGAGTAATTAAGAGACAAAAACCAAGTCGGTTGGATGACTTGCGGCGTCCCACACGGTGCATCCAACTCGTTTTTATTTTTGTGTATACGAGTACTTGCATTTATGGATACATATACATGATGAAACATCAATAACTACGGAGTCCACACCAGACTTTGACCACATTATTATTAATGGTCGGCAGCATCCTCGAAATCAAACAGACCCTACCTTTCCAAGTTCCCAAGTCCAAATCCTAATCTCAATATATATAAATCCCAAAAACCCACACGTTTGTTCATATCACAACACAAAAACCATCCATAGGAATTGGACAAACAAACAAACCGTAACACCTGAAAAACAAAAGCCTCAAAGTAGTTGACGACGAGCATGGCTTGGTCCGAACCCGAATCAGCGATCTGCAAGCACCACCCGACCCACAAACAGCCGCCGGGCGTCTGTTCCTGTTGCCTCCGTGAACGGCTCGCCAAGATCTCCGGCACCGCCTCGTCGAACAGATACGGCGACTACACCTCCGCGTCGTCGTCTTGCTCATCCGGCCGCGTTTCTCCCCGCGGTCACCGCCGGATATCCTCCGACGTGGCGGAGGGCCGATTCTCATGGAGTGGCGGATGCGAGGGCGGGTTGAGGAAGAGCAGATCGATTGCTTTTGCGGCGGACAGAAGACCCGGCGGCGGCGGCGAGAAGAAGAGGGAAGGGTTTTGGACAAAGCTGATTAAGTCGGCGGGTAAAAGAACCAAGAAGGTTTTATTGCATTAGGGATACACTCTACTACTCTCTCCCTTTCCAAAAAGACTTCCCATTCTGATTTGGGGCAAAATTGAGGAAGTGTTAAATTATAGTTGATTTTCAATTTTGCCCCTGATGTGATGGGTAAAGTAAGATGTGATGGATGTGTTATTAGAAAAAAAGTATGATGTGATAGGTAGGGTATGAAAAAGTAAGGGTAAAAGTAGCTTTTTAATAGAATGAGGAAGTGTTTTATTGAAGGTAGAAAAAAAGAAAGAGGAAGTGTTTTTGAGAACGGAGGGGTACAATATACTTATTCATACCATGATTGTATTTACTTACGGTATTTAATTTAATTACACAGAGCATTTCAATAAATATTGAATTTAATCAGTATAGTGTTCCCTTGATTTTTACGTACTACATACAGAGTCTGTAAATAATGAGGTTTGCGCATTATCAAATCCACGCAACAATTTTAAAGTATAGGAACTATTGTTATAATTTTTAGAAAAATGTTATTGGTGTACCCCATTTGTCCCACACCCCCTCCTCCACCACATAAATGGGCAAAAACTTCAAAAAAAAATTAAATAAATAAAAATTAAATAAAAATGAGTGGTGGAGAAGGGGGTGGGAGACAAATGGGGTATACCGAACTCTAATTTTTAAAGTCCACGTGAAATTAAATTTGCCTAAATTTTGATGTTTTGAGAAACAAATGGTGCAAAGGAAGGGAGTACTATCCTAGCATAGGGTGCACCCTATCACAAGTCGCCTGGGTTACCTAACGGAGTAACAAGTTTAATTTGATGTAGATAATTTTTACGGAGTATTTAAGGGCCTCTTTGGGAATAGCGTTAGAAATTAGCGTTAACGTTTTGGATAAAATTTTAATGGTGCAGATTAATTTGAAAACGCTAACGCTAAACGCTGCCCGTAGATAGCCTTTTGAAAATGCTAACGCTAATCTCTAACGCTATTCCCAAACAGGCCTTATGAATACAGCGTAATAAATTTTCGATGTATTTATCACTTCCCCGTCCAATAAACGGAATACGGCATAATACATTTTCATTGCATTTATCGGTTACAAATTCAGATCAAACCAATTCAATAATTAATACTCAAGCATTGGAGTAACAGCAAGGTATTGTGTGGACTTGTCTTACCTTGCCATCTCACCATTATCCACCAAATTAGCAACCCTCCCCTCATTCTATTCCATATGGGAGGCATGGCTCCCTCTTTTTTTATTTTTTATTTTTTATTTATTTTGAAAAATAAGAATATTTTTTATTCCTTCTGTTCCACAAAACCCTTCCGGTTTTGACTTTGAAAAAAAATAAGAAAAGTGTAATTTTGGTTGATTTTCCAATTTTGCCCCTGATGTGATGAGAAAAAGTAAGATGTGATAGTTTGGTTATTAGTGAAAAAGTATGATGTGATATGTAGTGTATGAAAAAGTAGGGGTAAAATTGGTTTTTTAATAAAAAGTGGAAGTGTTTTGTGGAAAGCAAAAAAACGAAAGAGGAAGGGTTTTGTGGAACAGAGGGAGTATTAAAGAAGTAGACATATTTTAATGATAAAATAGATATGTAAAATAAATTTTAATAATTAAAATACATTAAAAAGGTGTAAGAAGTAATAAAAACAATGATTTGCCACTGCAGCCATGTATTTCACTGACTTGACGCATGCTAACTGGATTATTATTAATGGGTTGAGATTTTTCATGTCATCGTGTGATATTGCATTTTAACCATGCCATTGCTCTAAAAATCATTTTTACCTCTATTTTTTTACCCTGTATATCACATCATACTTTTTCACTAATAATATATTGATTACATCTTCCTTTTACCATCATATCAAGGGCAAAATTGAAAAGTCAACTCTAAATAATCTTTCCTTATTTTTTCCCAAAGTCTAAACAAGAATTGTTTATAGAAACGGAGAGAGTACTTTCCCGTCCAGAAAAATAAGGCTAAACCAAAGTTTAAAAAACTAGATCGGACCGGCCGGTTCAATCCGCGAATTGGTGGTCTAATCAGTTTGGTCGATCTGGACTGCAATCAGCTTCAAAGTTCAGACCAGTCAGAACCGGTGTGAAACGGCCGGTCGAAGAAGTGTTTTTTCTTTTTGCCAATTTTTGTTCAAAAATACACTGCTAGGATTTGATCGAACACAAAATCTCTTAGGCATTTGGTTAAGTCATTAAGCAACGAGCTAGAGCACCTTTTGTTCTCTACTTGCTTATAGTTTTTTTATATTCATAATTAAAAAAATAATAGTGGTAAAAAGATTTCTTGTTGTTTTAAAAAACTATTAAAAAAAACTACTCCGTATAATGTTATAACTATGATTCAAACTCAAAGTCATATAATTGATACTATTACAAAATATATATCAGGTAAATATAAATTTGAGCATTTTTTAATATTCAACAACTTACTCGCCGGTTCAAACCGTGAATCAGTGGTCTAACTGATCCCATCTGGACAACAATCTGTTCAAACCAGTGAAAACTGGTGTGAACCGACCCATCGGACCGGTCGAACAAGTTTTTTTTCTTTTTGCGAATTTTTGTTCAAAAGATAGATTTGAACACGAAATCTCTTGAGCATTTGGTTATGTCATTAACCAACAAGCTAGAGGACCTTTTGTTCTCTACGTGCTTATAGTTTCTTTCTATTCATAATTAAAAGATAATTATGGTAAAAAGATTTCTTATTGTTCTTTCTATATATATAGTGCTAAATAGATACCGATTACTCTAAAACTCAAATTGTAATTTCTTATTTTTTCTTTGTTCATTCTAGGCAAAACATATTCTTTCAAAAATCAATTTTTAGAACAGTAAAACAATGTAACACATCAAAATAGGTTAAAAAGAGTTGCAATGAAAATCAATTAGGGTATTTAATGGTTGATCAATAACAATAAAAAGAATAAAAATCTATAAGTATAAGTCATGCGATTGAGCCTTGAGGAGTGCCTTTGACAAAAAATAAATTGAATTAGAAAAAAACAAAAGCATAAAAATCAAGAACTCACCACTCCAGAGGAGAAGGAATTGAGGAGTCACACTAAATGTTAGGATACAAAGCAAAATAGAGATGTGCAAATGAGCACGACATATTAAAGGATGAAGAGCGGCAATTTAGCAATGAAGCCCAGGAACGTTGCATTGGACTAGGGGATGCGGCGGAGGAATGGATGAGGTAGAATACGAATAGTCCTTTGTTATTAATTATTGGGCTTGAGTAACAGAATAAATTTAGTATTGGACAAAAAATAAAATTAAAAATGGGCCCTTATATTTTGAAGGCCCTGTGCAAGTGAACCTAATGCACTTGGCCTGGTATATGCATTCATTCAAATATTAAATAATGGTTAAATGGCAACATTGGAGGTGATCTAATAACTTTATTTTAATGTAATATATGCACATACATACTTTCTCAACATATTCAAGCACGAAAAGAGTTATTTGTCATATTAAGAATCGAACATATAACCTCTATCCGGAAGAGCCAAAGTGATGTCGTTGCACCACGAGATTTTTGGCAACAGTCACATATTCATTTTCTAAAAACAAAAAAGAAACTTTATTTTAGGACATCCATCTATGGAAGGATTTTGTAAACCACACTTCGAAACGAAAAGAGCATTAAATTTGTTTCAATATGAAAGCTAGACAATGATAAAGAGTATTAATTGATTGATTACTTCGTAATTTTCACGAGAACAAAGACTGATAAAGCATTTCATCAGACATAATAAGTTGCAGGTCAATGCTTTCCATCTCCCACTGCAAAACTTCCCATTGTATTCTTCTCCATAATTTTCTGGCAATTTTGAATGGCCTTATTACTATGCCAGATCTCCTTGAGCTGCTAATAATCTTCTTTAACGCCAACCAAACAGCACCCAAAACCAAACCCCAAAATGTAACCCAGCATTTAACGCAGAGTGCAATCCATTTTGTGTCGACCCTTGTGTTTTGATAATGACAACCTTATATGTGGGATAAGCTTTGGATCTTTGAATCAAGTCACCTGGATCATTTCGTAGGGATTATCTTGCAAGTCGGCTTACGAGCTCCAAGACAAGAATTGGCTTACGAGCTCCAAGACTAGAATTGGTGTTAAAAAGGTTTTTAGATCTTTTACATTTTTTTAAGTCTTAGTTCTTGTTAAAGTGTGTGGCACATGTTTATTCTTCAAAATTCTCTATTTCTCTTAAAAGAATTCCTTCTTTATTGTTATTTAAAATGTTTTTTTTAAAACTATGTTTTCCCAGGCTTTTGTTCGAATAAATGATGATTTATTCGAATAAGAGGGACATCTGCAGATTGCAGCTCGGTCTGTTTTAATCGAACAAATGCTTATTTTATTCGAATAAGTGCTGATTCCATTTTTTCCAGACTTTTGAAAACTATTCGAATAAATGGTTATTTATTCGAATAAGTAGCTTCCCAGAATTTCAGTTCACCCTGGTTTATTCGAATAAATCTAAGATTTATTCAAATAAGAACTGCGTTTTCTAAATTCTTGTTTTATCAAAACTATTCGAATAAATGGTGTTTTAGTCGAATAAATCGACAGTTTTCATAACTAACGGTCAGTTTTTAAATTCCCGTGGAGGTTTCTTCGGCCCTATCCATATATACTCAATCTAGTTTCATTTTTCAAAAAAAAAGAACATACAAGAACATCCAAGAACATTGAGAATTGCTATCCTTTGAGAATTTCAAAGAGTTTTATTGAATCAAATCCTCTTACTCAATTAATTCAAGGACTTTCTTGAGTAATCCTTCATATTGAAGTTTGGAGAGTCATTTGTGCCATACACTATAGGATTCGTTGTAATCTACAGCATATCCGCTCTTGTTCGAAGAGTCAATTCCGCTGTGCACTTTGGTTTGTAAGTTTTTAAATTGTAAAAAAAAACTTGAATTTAAAATAATTCAAGTTTTGGATTGAAATCCAAAGTCTTGTGAAATCAAGACTTCGGTGGAAAGGTTAGAGGCTTGTGAAATCAAGTTCTCGAGTTGTATTCGGATTGTTAAACTCCGTTAAGTTTGACAAGGATTAGTGGAATCTCGGGCACGTTTGCCTTGGGGGCCGGACGTAGGCATTAGGCCGAACCAGGATATATCGTTGTCATCTCGCTTTCATTGTTTCCGTTAATCTTTTATTTTTTTACTGCGTTTTTTTCTTCTTTAAACGAAAATTTTTATTATTTTCGTGAACACCTCTATTCACCCTCCCTCTAGAGGTGTGAAAGGCGTCTAACATTTTGCGTATCTACTAAATCTCACCATACCCACTTTCACTTTATTTGCTGATATCTGATTACTTCTGATGATTTGTTTTTTCTATAAATAGTAGTGAATATTTATGCATGCGATCATGACTTTTGCTGTTTAAGTGCGCTTTGGAAGGAAAGAAAGGTCACGTTAAAGGAATGTCTCTAGCTTAGGTGTATTCTCTCCTTGCCCAATACAAAGTTATTGAGGGCATTTAACAAAATTCGTTTAATAGTGTGTTTGGAAACTTGAATTTGGATTTCAAATATAGATTTGATATAAAAATTAGGGTTTACCAAGAATTACTAGTTAAAAGTTAAAATATTTTTTTATTAAAATTGAATGCAATAAATATATTTCATACTAATATTTAAACTAATGTGAATGATATATTGGATAGAGAGATGATGTAAAATGTTTACACCTTTAAATATCATCTATAGTGACAAATGGTCTCATCCTAAATAAAAAAAAATATAAACTCTTTTTTTCTTTTCAACAAGCAAAGAAAGATGTTGACATAAAAAAGAAGAACTAAATATTTGATTTTATTTTTCAAATGCACATCCAACATTTATCTGATTTCGTATTTAAAGTTATAATATTATTTATATTACAATAAATAAATAATAAAATAAATCAATAATTGATTTTAATGTTATTGAATTTATATTTATACTGAATTGTTTTAAGTTTTTACTATCTTCCCTAACTTGCTTCTTTTAAATAGAATGCATTAATTTAATATTTTTTGTAATTTCTATGCGTATATTATGTTATAATAAAAAAATTATATTATTTTATAATATAATGCGGAGTATGACTTATTTAAATTAACGGATAAAATAAAGAAAAAGTGAGACCCATTAATAATTGAATGAATGGATGAGATGAGTTGTGAATGTTTGCTTAGAAAATAAGGTGCTTAAAGATAGATGATGTACAGATGACATGGATTAGAGAGAAGAATTAAATGAATGATTTTTTTGTATCAAGGAACATAGATGCTCTTAGTTCTCAAATATAAAATATGTGACTCTTTAAACTTTTTTGTTTAATAGAACTTCTAAGAAACTTTTTACTTTTTACCACATACTGAAAATTTTTAAAAACTCTTTAAAATGCATAAAAATTGAGTTTCTAAACGATACAATTTGATAATTATCGTTCTTATTGAATAATGAAGGATACATCTCTATAAATAGGGATTACAGGAGAGTATTCTAATCCAAATAGGGAAAAAATTATAGCAATGATACAATAAAAAAAATAAGAGAATAAGGAAGGTAATTAATAACAATATTCTATTTCCTATTATCCCCTGCAAAGCCGATCAACAGAGATGAGGGGTAGCTTGGAGCATAAGTACTGGAACAGAGCTAGTAGAAGCGGCTTCGTGAGAATATCTGCTAACTGCTCGGAAGGTGAAACATGATGCAGAGTCATGGTATCGGTGACAACTTCATCTCGCACAAAATGATAGCTTGAACCAATATGCATATGACCATGTAGAATTGGATTTTTGGTCATACAAATGGTAGATTAATTATCACAGTAAAGGCAAGGTTTCGATGGAGGAATACCTAAAACATCAGGAATGCACCTTAGCCACATAGCTTCTGTCACGCCTACAGCCATAACACGTTATTCAGTCTCTCGAGAGACACGTGTATGCTTTTTTGTACACAAAGAATAGTACATCTTCTTTTGGTGGTTTTCTTCTTTCTCGTGGGATTGCCTATGTATAATCCCACAAAATCAATAGGGATTGCATGTTTATAATCTTACAAAATCTTTTAAAATCATGTTGATAAAATAGATTAAAATTTATCAAACTATCTATAGAATTAAAGTAATCCATGAAATATATCAAGGCCCCGTTTGGCATTAGCGTCGGAGATTAGCGTTAGCGTTTTGAAAAAGCTATCCGACGGTAACCTTTAGCGTTAGCGTTTTTAGAATTAATCTGCACCATTAAAATTTTATCCAAAACGCTAACGCTAATCGAAAACGCTGTTACCAAACAAAGCCAAATCCATCAATTTTAAACAATCTATTAGTAAAATCTATTAAAATCAGTTTTGAATACAGGTTAGTGCTTTGGTGGGGGGGGGGGGGGCATGGGGCTAAACATTATTCCTTAACGAAACAATATCCACTCTCCGTAGTGTTTTCTCCCTTTTCCTCTTTCGTCCGCTCGTTGTGTGTTGCCGCCGGAGCTGTTCTCCTTCTACTAAGGTTTCCAATTCAGTTGTCACCGTTCTTATCCATCAGGTACTTTAGTTTCGACGATTTCATATCCGTGTCTAATTTTAAAAACTTTCATTTTCACCTTTAATAGTGCTGAAATCCCTTCTGAAAATTATTGAATCTGAAGTATTCTTGTCAACGGGTAGGGTATTTATGGGCCGGATCCAGACCCGTTTGGAGAGATGGGTACCGGACCCGTCGGGTCCATTGTAAATTGCTCCATACCCATGACGGTCTTTACTTAATACGGAGTAATATAAACTGTAAACACACCAGGAATTTAACCATAAACTGTTGCAAATTTAATACTTGAAATCTGTTAAAATTTATGCTCCCAAATATGTCAAATTTATGAACAAAAGTTAATTCAAAATTTACTAAGCACAAAATCATCTCTGATGCAAAAAAGGAGGTGGCGTAATGGCTAAATGGCGTGTATATTGCTATGATTTGTATTTGTATAATATAGATACAATATCTAACATATAATGTAATTAGTTTCGAACAAACAAAAATAAGATAATGGACAACTAAATTCTGAAAAAAAAACAAAAAGAAGATAATTCTCACATGTTTTGGGGTAACCCCGAACAGACCATGAACGCATTCATTACATCCTTGAGAGTGAAATTTTTGCATCCTCACATGTTTTGCTACACCGTTCGATTGAGGTGTGTGTGCTGATATTACATGGTGCACAATACCATGTTGTGCACACAACTCTCCATAAAGAGTTTCATGCTCCCTCCTCTATCAATCCTAATTGCTCTAGTTTTGTGATTAAGTTGATTTTCAACTTAGTTCTTTTAAAGAGTGAATTTGTCCAATACCTCTTCTTTACTTTTTGCTAAATAAGTATACCATTATTTCGTGATATCATCATCGAACGTGATAACATAGAGTATGTTATCACATCTTGAGGGCGTTATTCTGAAGTCACATAAGTTAGTGTGAATCAAATCTAGTGGTGTAGTGGTTCTTCAATCGTTTGGAACAAGCTTCAAGTTGACTTTGCCTCGATACACATCTCACATTTGTGGGACCGGTCGATATGAAATTCAGAGATATATTCCATGTTAATTAACTTTATTATATAACCATAATTAAAATGTCCCAGTCTACCTTGTCACTCAAACAAATAAGCAACAAGACTTTTATTAGCTTTCTCAACAACAGTCAACACATTAAGCTTAAAAATCCCATGAGACACATACCCCTTACATATGAATGCACCCTGCTTGCTCAAGACTAATTTATCAGACTCAAAGACCATGTAAAAGCTTGTTTATTGAGAAGTGAGCCTGACACCAGGTTCTTGCCAATGTCTGGTATTGGCGGCATGTATAACACATCATATGGCGTGAACTCCTTTTCTTATGTCATCTTGAGCTTCACTTCGCTCACACCAAGAACCACAAACTAGGTTGAATGGCTAAACCTTCTCTCAAGAGGACTCCTTGAACTCGAAGAACATGGCATGGTTCGATTAAATGTGATGAGTGGCTCCAATATCGGTTCTTCACTCTTTTAGGTTTGACCCGACCACGTTGACCTCGTTCACTAATCACTATGATGCAAATATTTGTGGCTTCTAGCTCCATGTATAGACTCATTCTTTTTCTTCTTTGGCTTCTTCTTGCACCCAGAAGAATGATGGCCTGTAATGCCATAGTTGCAGAATTTTCTAATTTCTAGTGAATTTCATCTTTGCCACGATGACTTTAGGACCCAGTGGCTTCTTATCATTTTTTGGCTTGAGCCTCTTGAGATTATTCTCTTTGGGAGGATGCTCTACGAAGTTGACCTTGGAAATGATCCCTTTCTTTTCAGTCCATACCCTCTTCTTGAATACAAAGACGAAGAATTAGCTGCCTAAGGTAAGTCTCCATTCGTTTGAGCTTGAGACCGTTTTGGAACTCCTTCCAGATGGTGGAAGTACATGAATTATATACATAACCTGAAAGGCTTCACTGACTCCACAACCCTCATCGTTGCACTCATTGAAAATGAGTTGTAACCCATCCAACTCACTAACCACTGATTTAGACTGAGGACTGATTTGGAATCCACCATTTTAAAGTCCAACATTTTACCGACATCGAGTTTCTTTGCACCGATGTGTTCGGCCTTGTATTTTTTTAAAAATGAATCCCAAAAATCTTTTTCTATTTCTGCCTTAGTGTACACAAAAGACAAGGTGTCACTCAGATCATTCATGACATAGTTGCGACATAGAAAATTTGAAGTGTTATATGCATCCCTAGTCCGAAAGATATGTTTGTCAACATCGTTGCCCCCACTGGTGAATCCTCACTAAGAAACTTTGCAAGTCCAAAGACCGTCACCCAAAATAGTATCTTTTGCTGTCACATCTTGAAGTTATTGCTCTTGAAGTTCACGCTCGTGAACTTCGCCTTTTTCTCGGCAGAACATGTGGGCAATGCCACCGAGAAACCTTGGGTGGAACCTACCGCACAGGGTTCTTTACCGAATGCCAAAACAACAATGTTTGGTCTAAATATTATATTTTGATTACATCATAGATGTTAGTATAATATCTGGGTGGCACCTCCAAATGAATAGTTTCAAATTTTAAAGAGTTGTAACATCATGTATGTCATCCGTCAAGACACTTCACAGTACTCCCCTATAAGCTACGGATGTCTACTTTAGAAAGACTTGTGCACAACGAAGACGAACAACAATTATGTAGATGTGCGCTGGCAGATATAAAACATCTGATTGAATTGATCTATAAAGGAGTTCTATGTTGAGTTGCTTCACACGAAGAAATAGGAAATTAATATTTATTGGAATAGGAGTTTTGGTGCCTCAACAGTTACAAGTGATAGAGTACTACAATTGCCCATTTAGGGTAGAAGAAGTCGAATAAATAAACCGAGCCTATTACAACTTGGGGGTTTAGAAAACTAAAGTGGTTTAGATCAAAGAACTTGATCTCACGTGTGATTTGAGAGAACACTGCAATTCATCCTATCTACTGCATGTGAGAGATACATCGTTTCTTCTCAGCAAGGAAAGAGTGTTTATAGAGAAGAGAGATGTGCGCACACAACGTCTCAAGTCCCAAAGTTGCTAGATGTTGAGCAAGTGGTTGAATTCTGATCACGTCATTTGAGTCCTTGAAAAAAGGTGTAATAGCCACGTGGTAAGTTCTAATGGGGTTCAAATAATAAGCCTCACAAGGTAGGGATTTTGTTATTACATTAGAGAAGAGACTTCTTGATGTATTGACAAGTTACTTTGAAGGATTAGTAAAGGAGTGTTACACAAGCATGGCCCCACAGATTAGGAGAATTATCTCAGAGCTGCTTAAATGTATTGTTTGTGTTTGCGAGAAGATGTCAGAGCACCATGTTTGCCTTCCGTCTTTGTGAGCAGTGTTGTAGCATCATCCAGTCTATCGTTTCTGCGTGAGCCACAATTTATTCTGTTAATTATGATTGGGTACTCTCGCTGCACACTCAATATTTTGGTAATGGAGTAGTTAATTTTACAAGCTTTATTAGATTTGTTCTTAACTTGAGATCATGGGAGACATGGAAGAAGGATCAAACATTCAGTGACCAGCCTTTGTGGTCACACCTAGTGTTTTCCGGAATGTCACATAAGAACCTTTCTAAAGTCTTGAGGTGGTGGAGTTTTGAAAGGATTGAAATAGGTTGGATGGAACTAACCAAGAAGGATGCTGAAAATAATGATGTTGCAAAACCCTTGGAGGACTGAATAAACTGCTGCTAAATATAATGATAAGGCAATAGCACTATTTTTGGAGTAGTTGATGGCCCTCAATATCATCTCATCTCTAATTGTGTTGTTGCTAAACAAGCATAGGATATTCTCCAAACCACCAATGAGAGAGATGAGAATGTTAAAACAACCAAGTACCAAATGTTTATGACTCAATTCAAGAATCTAAGAATGGATGACAAAGATGTCACTGAATTATATGGAGAACAACCCTTCAATGAAGAAAAACCTGTTCTTATGGTACTTAGATCTCCTCCCAAAAAAATTGATATATATGTGAAGGCTATCCGACAATCACATGATGTCAAGACTATGACTCTTGATGCTCTCATGAGAAATCTAGAAATCTTTGAAATAGACATGAATGAGAATGCGACACATAAGAAATCTAAAAAATAAATTGCCTTCCCTCTTAAAGATATAGAAGGTATTGAGGATGAGATGCTTGAGTTTGATAAAGATTTTCAGGAATAATTAACCCTGTTTAATCTACAATTCAAAAGGCAATGGATTCAAAAGGGGAGGAACGAATTGGTAGGAGGGGTCATAAATAATTCTTGCTCTAAAGGAAAATAAGTTCCAGCAACCTGAAAGATAATTCAGAAAGAAAGGAGTTTAGTGTTATGAGTGTGGAGGTCATGATCATATTCAATCTGACTGTGCCAACAACATTAAAAAGAAAAGACAAGCTTTCACAATCACTTGGAGTGATGAGTAAAGATTCAAAGGAAAGTAACTGTGCTTACACAACACAACATGACGTGACTGTTGAAGATGACAGGGAGGATGATCCAGTACACAAACTCACCATTAGGAGAAGTGGACAGAATTGCTGCGGGTCAACAAGTAGACAATAACGGAAAATTAATGCCTTATAACTGAATGAGTTAAACTCTTATTTGCATTATTAGAAATACACAGGAAACTTGAAGATGCAGAACGAAATCAAGAAAATAAGGTATGAGCTATGTCAACTCAGGGATGTCTTCAGACGGCACAAAATGCTGGATATGAAGCCATTATTGAACAAATTGGGGCTACCAAAAAACATCGGAGATCGGATGAGCATTGAGTATGCAAATAATGAGGGAACTGAACCAAAGAAGGCTGTGCATGATAAAGTGTTTGTTTGAGGTAAAAAGCAAGATATGAGTTGCTCCATCATTTTCAATCACACATTCAAAAGATAAGAAGAAACAAAAATATAGAGAGTAGAACAGATACTTGGACTTTTTCAAAAAATTCGATATATTTTTATTGCAAAACAAGGGGACATTAAGAGACAATGTCTGAATCAAAGAAAAGACAAAGAAAAACGAGGACAAACTTAGTATAGAGAACCACAATGACCAAAATGATCTGGTTCCCAATCATAAAAAAGCAATGCAGGCATGTAGACAAACATAACCTCTCACATGTTCATCTCGAAGGAGGGCATATCAAGCTCGGAGGACGAGCAAGAAACAAGATTGTGGAGACCATGGATTAACATAACCACGAAGCATTAAAGGAATTGGTTGAAAAAACAGTAGCTAGGTGTTGCTTTGTTCTATTTTAGAGGATATGTGTAGTGTTCTTTCTCTCAGTTTTTCTGGAGTTGAACTTTCTCGAATTAGAGTGATACTTTGCTGATTCTGTGAATTATATTATGTGAGAGTGGAGTTTCTCTTCCTCACGGGGAAGAAGGGTTTATGGCTTATGGTGTCTGGATTTTTAATTTACTTCTTTCAAACTTTGGGTTGGATTCATTGAAGGGTAATTTACCTAAATAGGATTAAAACATAATGACTTTCTCAATATAGGACCATATGTTTTTATTTCCCAATGTAGGACCATTGATCATTATCTATTAGTCATTATTTAACTAAATGTCCAGCATCACTTGGACATTATTCTCTTCACTGGTCATTATTAAGTCCTATTTAGGAAATAAAAAAGTTAAAGTCCTACATTAGGAAATGACTTATGTTTTAGTCCTATTCAGTGCAAATTTCACTTCATTGAAACCGCGAAGAAACTCGTGGAAAACTCAAGCCTTGAATTCAATCCTTTATAGGCATGCTTTTCTAAGCCAATAATAATACTACTACATAGAATCCTTTGAGCTTCAACACAAGCATTGTTTTTCTTCTCAATGTGATAAATATGATGAATCTTGCAGGGCGCTTATAATTTGGGTAACATTATTTTTCTTATCTACATGCTCGAGTTATGGCTTCAGAGTTTGAAACAATCGAGCAAAGGTTAAAATCTTTTCAAGGCCAACTGCAGTCAGAGTTTGGCATTCTTGATCGAATTGTCTATAAAAACAAGTATCAGCACAGAAGATGCTCACGAGCACACTTTTGGTAGATCTTTTTACGACAAAATAAATTCTATATTGCTCAGAGAATCAATTAATGGGAGTTAGGTGATCAAGGTAGCAAAGGGGCCCGGAGACCTCCCAGTGGAAAAAGAACAAGCAATATAGGAGGCAATGGAGGACATAGCAGCAGAGGAGGAAGCAGTGGAGTTGGAGGACGACGGAGATGAAAAATGACATATGTGAGTGATGAGGAAAATGAGGAGGCCCTTATTGTACTTCTACTACAATCATAGTATAGTCCGTACTAATTATTGGTTTGTACGAATTTCTATTTTCATCTGCCTATAAATTTGCAACATTATTTCAAAAATAAAATAAAATTGCAGCATTTAATTTTGTCAGTCCTGCATCCCATCTATTTAGGCAACTTTAAATAGGGAACACATCACATATTGATGGGGAGAGTTGAAGCGGTGACGGTAATATGAAATCATGTTTGTTTCCCAATAGTACTCTGCATTGAAAACACTGATTGGGAGAATGAAGCGGTGACGGTTTTGCCTAATAACTCCATACCATTCCCTCCGTAAAGCAGGTGGAAGCACAATATTACCATCCATGGGATAGCGTGGGGATTTTTGACCTTTCATTTCCCAACTTTCCTCTATAATAAGTCCAGTAGAGGTAGTGAGTAGGTTAGTAGTAGAAGTACAATAAGGGCCTCCTCATCTTCCTCATCACTCACATACGTCATTTATTCTTCATCTCCATCGTCCTCCAACTCCACTGCCTCTTCCTGCCCTGAGCCGCTACTGCTTCCTCCTCTGCTGCTATGTCCTCCATTGCCTCCTATACTGCTTGTTCTTGTTCTTTTTCCACTGGGAGGTCTCCCGGCCCCTTTGCTGCCTTGATCACCTGACTCCCATTCGTTGTTTCTCTAAGCAATATAGAATTTATTTTGACGTAAAAAGATCTACCAAAAGTGTGCTCGCGAGCATCTCGAAGGAGGAGCAAGAAACAAGATTGTGGGGAAAGACCATGGATTAACATAACCATGAAGCATTAAAGGAATTGGGTGAAAAACAGTAGCTAGGTGTTGCTTTGTTCTATTTTAGAGGATATGTATAGTGTTCTTTCTCTCAGATTTATTTGTAATTGAACTTTCTCGAATTAGAGTGATACTTTGCTTATTTTGTGAATTATATCATGTGACATTGGAGTTTCTCTTCCTCACGGGAAGAAGGGTTTATGGCTAATGGTGTCTGGATTTTTAATTTACTTCTTTCAAACTTCGGGTTGGATTTTTTTGAAATTGCAAAGAAACTCTTTGGAAAACTCAAGCCTTGAATTCAATCCTTTTATAGGCATGCTTTTCTAAGCGGATAATAATACTACTACATAGAATCCTTTGAGCTTCAACACAAGCATTGTTTTTCTTCTCAATGTGATAAATATGATGAATCTTGCAGGGCGCTTATAATTTGGGCGACATTATTTTTCTTATCTACATGCTCGAGTTATGGCTTCAGAGTTTGAAACAATCGAGCAAAGGTTAAAATCTTTTCAAGGCCAGCTTCAGTCGGAGATTGGCATTCTTGATCGAATTGTCTATAAAAACAAGAATCAGCACAGAAGATGCTCATACTTTCAGCACCTCTCAAAGGTGAGAAGAGACTTGAGGCTTCTGAAATCAGCGAATCTGGATGAGATACTCACTTCCTCTGACATTATCCATGGAAAGAGGCCCAAGCAAAAGCTTCACCTCCTGGAAAGTCTGAAGAGAAGAACAGATGGCAAGAAGCAAACCTTCTTAGACCGGCTCCTCGGCGCAGCCCATCTATTGTCACAAATGGTTGAACCAATGCTGAAGGCAGCAACACAGGTATCGGTTCTTCTTGCCCAATCATTCTTCATGGGGTTTTCATTAACTGTCTTGGCCTTGCTGGCTCGAATCAGAGTCCTCGTTATACAAATGCTTCTAGATGTTGTTTGTGTGTTTAATTGTGTGTCATCCATGTCTCAAAAGAAGCAATCTGTTAAACTGAACACCGAAGGATTTGAGGTTTTTAAAGAATATTATCCTGCCAAGGGGCACACTATTTCCCTAGAATGTGTATGGGAAACAGATAAGTACAAGTTAGTTGAGCGAAAAGGTGAAAGCGAAGATGAAATGAAAGAAGACGAATGCATGAAACCGCCGAAAATCCAGTACCAAAGCATTGAGATGTTTCTAGGAGATGATGAAGTTTCTGTAGATGGATCGTCCATGTTGAAGAACAAAGAGGATACGAATTCTTTGTCGCAAATTCTCAATGATGATGTGGCATCTCCCGGGAAGAGTAAAGTCTCTCCAGAAAGTGGATTGTCATTCCAATTGAGGCATAAATCTGAAGCGAAGCGGAGTGTTGCATTTGTGCCTGTAAAGAGGCCTTCTCCATCTTCTTCATTGCCTGCATCTGCGAATGAACCGGGGCTTTCATTTCAAGGAATGCAAAATGGTGACCGTTTAACTAGAGAAGAAGAAGAAGATCCTTTTTTCAGTTTACTCACTGGAGGAAACAAGAACAGTGCTTTGTTCTAATCATCATCCGCATCAGAACCTAGCAAATTCGTGGCGTGTGTATAGGATTATTGTTTGGTTTATCTGTCCAAAAAAGAAACTGATATTGAAAATTGCAGATGAAGATCTGTTTTGTCCGTATATTCACCAGAGGTAAGAACAGAGTTACATTTTTATTAATCTTTTGGTTAAAAGATCACTCTATGAGAGACGACTATGGCTTGCATGTCCTCTTCAACTGGGAAAAAGTGTTATTTAATCCAGGGATACACTCATTGTTTGAAAGAGTGGTTTAGAAATATTATTGTTTGATTTTCAATCCTAGGTTGACTTACAATGTTGAGAGGATTTAGTTAAAATTTAGACTATAACTTAGATACGATTATTTAATTTGGTTTTATTTGACTCTACACTGTAAGAACATATATGGTTGGATCGGTTCATCAAAAACAAATTTTCATGCAAAGAATAATGAACACGAACCTTTTCTTTGTTTCATTTTTGGTCATCTCTTAATGCAAGTATTCTCTTCTGAAATTTAATGCAACACAAAAGATGAATGAATTCAACAAAATTTATGAAAAGTGATGAAAAGTAAAAATGTTATCGTTTGAATGTATATGTAGAAGACAAAGAATGGTTGTGAGTCAATCATTCATGTTTTTAAACGTAACAACTCAATTTGGTTCTCTGAGTTTATGAATTTTTTTTATTAAATTATAAATTTGAAATATTTCACAAATAGGTAAACAACTTATATGAGTAGAAAAATGCACATTTTGAGACCAATCCATGGGTTAGTTGCATAAAAATTGTGAAAAATAAATTACAATATTCAACCACTAGGACTTTCATCAACTAAAGTTATGCAAAACATACAAGAATAAGTGTGATTGTCCACAAAAAGTGCAGAAAATTACTCACGGGTGACGCGAGTTTTGTTGAAATAACTCTCAGGTCCCTCTATTTTCAAGAAGACAGCAGAGGTCCTTAGATTTTGTTGTAATGACTGGAAGGGGACATTTCATCCAATATTTCATCTATAAATGTTAATAAATGTATTTTTTTCCTATTCTTTTCTAAATGTTTTAAGGTAATAAATCTTAGGTCGCTCCTTTTTTTATTTCTTTGTTTTTCTTTCATTTTGTTACTATTTTTTAAAGTGTTATTTTAGAATTTCTTCTATAAAATCGTATAAAAATTCAAAATTGTTTGTATTATATTAAAACAAATGAAATAAAAAAAATTTAAAAAAATAAAAAACAAGGTTATGGCAAAATAGGAAAAAATGGTATTGGAAAAATAGGAAAAAAAATACATTTATTAACACTTACGGATGATGTATTGGATGAAATGTCCCCTCCCAATCATTACAACAAAATATAAAGACCTCAGTTATCTTTTTGAAAATAGAGGGACCTGAAAGTTATTTCGACAAAACTCGGTCACCCGCGAGTAATTTTCTGCAAAAAGTGTTATATATTGACAATAATTTACTTTACACATTTATACTACGGAGTAAATAAATATAAAAACGTGGGGTTCTAGTGACACCCGCTTTTGGTGACACTAGTGATGTCACTGTCATTTTAGAACACTTCCGGTGCTCCGTTCGTAAAATTTACGGTTCCTACCCCCTAACCTCCTAAAGCCCCCACCCTACACCCGCCCATGCACTCCCACCCCAACTCTGCCGTAAGGCCCCTACAAAATGTGTGACTATTATGCAATTCATAATAGCCGGGTAAATTTCACCAATGGTACCTGAACTTTATCTGGAATTTCGAACTGGTACCTAAACTTCAAATCCTTCAAAAAAAATCCCTGAACTTACACAATCCTTTCACTAAAAGTCCATTTGCCCGTTTCTAGGTTAACTTCCGATCATTTGGGCCAAATTAGAATTTTATATATTTTAAAATTTTCAATTTGACCGCATTTCTTTTATTCTTTTCTTCCGCTCCCCACCGCCGTCACACCATCTCAAACTTGCCGGAAAATCAACCTGGTCCGATTCCGATGGGACCAACGCCATTCTCTTCGTCTTGAGATGAGGATCAAGAATATCCAAACCATTTTTTCCAATTTGGCCTGCAACTCCTCGAATTCGAATTTTTCCAATCGAAAAAACCCTAAAATCCGAAATTGGGGGGTTTTACCAAATCGCCATCAAATCTTGCAATTGAGGGGTCCTTGGAGGTCGCCGAGATGCCACGAACACATTGGAGGGGATGAGTAGCGTCAATTTTGTCGGAGGTGGCCGGAAAACGCCCCGACCTGCCGGAGCAGTGGAAGTACTCTAAAATGACAGTGGCACCAGAGTGTCACCGTACTCCGGTGTCACTAGAACCCCACCGATATAAAAAATGTTAAGGTAACACCAAAATGTTAAAACTATATATGACATCATATGTGGATTCGTTTAAACAATATTTAAAGAGACACCAGATTTTTAATATTCCCTCTTTATCTTGGTTTTTGTCCCATTTGAAATGGACACAATTACCAAGAAAAAGAGGGATAGGGGACAAGTTGACTAGATTGCTCTTACATTATTACTTTTGGGGATGAGTGAATTGTGAGGGCGAAAAACAAAAGAAAAAAACAATTGTTCTTTCCACACCACAAATTATTCTTTACACCCATCAAATCAATGCTTTTTACCTATCTATTTTTTGTTCTTGGGTAGGGAGAAAATTTGATTCTGAAGGGTAAACATGGAAATGTTTTTACCTTTTATTGCCATAACATGAAAGTGGACAAATATTGAGGGAGAGCCGAAAATGGAATACTGGACAAATATTGAGGGACAAATACTGGAAAATTTGATTCTGAAGGGTAAAATCGAATTTATAATATTTTTCTATATACGTACCATGTAAACTTCACGCAATGAATATTTATATGTTGCGTAAACATGAGATTTTTATCAGTTGTAAACGTTTAGACAATATATATCTGGCGATTCGAAAGTTCATATTTATTTAATTTGTTGTATGAAGTGTATTTTTAAATAGTAATAGTTACTTATTAACACTCAAAATTTTTACTTACAAGATTTATTTTTACTACACAAACAAAAAACTAATTAGTCACTAATCTAATCAAACAATATTTTCGCACTTCTAATTAGTCACTAATCTAATCAAACAATATTTTCGCACTTCTAGTTGTATTTTAAGGTGTACTATACATTCCGTGTAGTGTTGTGTCACTCTTTTATTGTTACAAGGAGACGGTCATTTCATTTGCATGCAACACTAATTAGTTCGATGACAACCAACGTAACCCCTTTCCCATGCATGGAGCACGAAATTACGATTGCATGGAGAAATATTTCCTATTTATATGGCTAAAATAATTAAATTATTTATAAAGAGGAATTCCTGTTAACAATAATAATTCTGATTAATTACCAGCCTGTATAGTATGCCTATTACCGCATTAATAATACTCTCAAAATGGATTCTTATATTCTGGATCGTGTTTCTACGTGCACTCTGGGAAGCATTTGAAAAGATAATATTCACTGCAAAGAGGTTTGTACTTTTCCCTTTCAGACTTGTACTCTGGCCCGTTGAGCTCTCCAGAAGATCATGGAAGACATTACAGTGATCAGGTGCGGCAACTGGTCCGCAGTCTCTTATCAAGTCCGGCGGAACACCAGATCATTATCTCACGGCAAGATATAAATAATTAAAGAAATTACTCATGTACACCACACCCGCAAAAATGTAATTTTCAAATGTTTTCATCTTCAATTAATAGCTACTATATACTTACACTGCATTATATTCTATGCAGCCGTGCCTTTTCTTATCCTCTTGTTTCACCTTTTTCCTCGAATAATATAATGATTTAATTTCTATAGTCCATGTGAAGTCTAGGGGTGAGCATCGGGTCGGTTCGGTCGGTTTTGGGTCAAAACCGAACTAACCGAAATTTTTCTAGATATTAAAAAACCGACCGAAACCGAACCGTTGTATTTGGATAACTGAGAAAACTGAAACCGATTAAACCGAATGGTTTCTGTCGGTTATTAAAAACCGAATTCCATAGCACCCATACAAAAAAATTACTCCAATATCATCATCATCAACGAAAGCACTATGAGTAGTTAAGGGTTTGGGGGTTCTCACAAATACCCCTGAAGCACTAGGACTTCGAATATCAGGAGAAACATCAAAATCCAATTGTTGTTCTAAAACAACAATTGCTACCAGCAAAAACTTCCAATACCAGGTAAACTTGTAAACTTTCCTCTTTTTGATATGAAAGGCCGAAAAATTGCTACCAGTGCCACTGTGATTTCTAGATCACAAACCTGCCGCTCAAGTCCAAGGGGCAACACCAGGAGCAGGGGTCGGCGTTCAAGAAGGAGTAGAACCCGGTGACGGGGATCTTTTGCTCGTCGAGATAGAGATCTTCTGGTTCCCGAATTGCATCGTGGATGCAGACGATGGCGACCCCCACCATCAGGGCAGATCTTCTGGTTCCAGATCGAAAGACGAGGGTTTCCTGTCGCCACTCATTTGCCATGTAGAGATATCCTAATCAAACAATTCCTATTTTTGGATAATGAAGTGGTCTGACTTGGTATTGGGCTTTAAAAAATTCATATCAATAACTAAAAACTTGTATCTGGTTTACCCAAACAAAACTCATACAGAGTATATCCGTTATTTGGTTAACCGAATAAACCGATAACCAAAACCGACACAAAAATGAAGTACCCAAAATAACCGAATTTTTTATCATGAGAAACTGAAACCGATTTAGCGGTTACTTCGGTTTTCGGTTTCACGGTCGGTCCAGTTAATTTGCTCTCCCCTAATGTGAACAACACATTTCAATGGTGCCACAAATCTAGGCATTTTTTTGTTGAAGGCACCCAACTTTGAGCCTTGTTACAAAAAGGTACCACGGGAGAGAAAAAAAATCAGATCTGGAGTATATAAATAGAGTGTTTTATTGTGGAACCTCTGTCTAGAACTATGTGTCCATACATATAAATAGAGGACTAAACAACTCAACCATTACAAATAGACGCAACAGTTACTAACCAACACATCTGTTGGAAATTGTCATAAAACCTGCCTAACTGCCTGCCTTTTTTTCTTATTTATTTTTTAAATTTAAACTAAATTTTGGACTAGAATTAACCAACATTCACCCCCTTGATTCCAGTCCTCATTATTGCCAAGTCTTCAATGCCCATCAGTTGCCTCATCTCGATAAACTTGACCCTCGGTAATGCTTTAGTCAAGATATCAGCTTTCTG